TCTTCAAGCAGAAGGGGCCAAGATTGAGGAAGACACTGAGGTAAGGCTAGACGACCTTATGGGAATACCTCAGCACGTGTCTGGGTCACCTTGCCAAGTCAGTGGACCTGTTTTCTCCAGGACATGGGAGCCCCACACCTCTACTGCCAACACGGGGACACTTCCCAAGCACACGGGTCTGAGTGGGCAGAATGTGCTAGGCAGGGGTCCAGCAGGCGGGGGGCAATTCAGTGCTGACCCAGATGAGGGTGTGCGCCCTGCTCTGCCAGGCTCTTGGTGCCAGCGACTGAGCAGCAGTGACTGTGGTCAGTGAGTCAGCTGGTCACTGCAGAGCCTTCCAGACATGGCTAGCCAGAGTCTTGTCAGGGGAGGAAATGAGTCAGGGCTGGCACATGTTGCCCAGGTCAGGCTACGCTGGTCTGACCAGCCGTTAGGCTTTGGCAGGCCCGGATAGCCACAAGCAGGATTCTCTGCTGCTGCCCCTGTCCAGGGTGAGTCATTGGTCAGGGTGCAGCCAGGTGGAAATCAGAGGGCAGGGCCTGGGCAATAGCCATCTCTGGAGTGGAGAGCTGGCAGCTCAGGACTGTGTCGTTGGAAGGCAAGGCCTTGCCAGACCTGCCATCTGTTGTGATTCTGGAAGCTGGGACCAACAGCAGGACCACCCACTTCATCTTCCTGGGACTCTGCTTGGTGATGGCTCCTGCCAGTATGACCCAGACCTAGGCACTCCCTGCGGTCTGCAGCTCTGAGCCTGCCCTGCGGCAGAAGACAGTCACGAGGCCTATTCCCAGGAGGAGGGGTGCCGCAGGGAACTGGAGCCTCCTTCCCTGGCCTGGACTGTGAAGGGAGCCTTCTTTCTAACAGTGGACCTGTCTTGTAATCGTTCCTCCTGCTTCTTGTAGAACATGGCGGAGAAGTTTCTGGATGGAGAGCTTCCTCTGGATGCCTTCATCGACGTCTACCAGAGCAAGCGGAAGCTGGCACACATGCGGCGTGTGAAAGTGGAGAAGCTCCAGGAGCTGGTGCTGAAGGGACAGAGACTGCCACAGGCTGGGGCCCCAGTACCGCCCAGGGTGCCTGAGCCATCGCCTGCCACCTCCCTGCCCTACCCGTCTCTGGAGGCCACTGGGCTCCCTTCTGTCGTGCCTCGGCGCATCCCACCACCTCCACCCCCGGTGCCCGCAGGACACGTAGCCACCCCATTCACTGCTGCCATGGGCTCAGGACAGGCTTCTCCATACCCAGGATTACAATGCCCCCCTCTGCCCCCCAGGGTGGGCCTCCCCTCTCAGCAAGGATTCTCTGCACAGTTGGTGTCGCCATACCCACCAGCCCTGCCCCAGAGACCCCCTCCACGGCTGGCTCCACACCAGCCAGGCTTCATCCTCCAGTGAGCTCTGGCGTCTGTTCTTCCTGCAAGACACCCTCTGCCTGCCATGCAAATGGAGGCTGTGGAGTCCAGCATCTGGGCCAATGGCTTGGGTGCCCTGGGTCAGTGTGTCCATCCGATTTTAGAACTGTAGGTCCATGGTAAGTAACGGAGAGCAAGTTTTGTGGACCAAGGGAGTGCGGTTTGTGCCAGGCCATAGTCTGGCACGCCCGGTCATCACATCGGTCTGTGCTCTAGGTGTGATTTCTAAGTATCTAGTGTTGATGGACTTGTGTATCTGGAAGATAAACCTCCCCCTCCAATTTAGAGTCATGGCCCTCCTGTTGCAGCTTTATTTAATAAGCATGGTTAATTATGTTTTATTTTCAAGTCTTGGTCCACCAGCTGCTATGGTGCCGGGAAAGGCTGGTTTACACTGGCCAACCTGGAACGTGTGCCCACAGCCAGGCCTTGCTGGGCGTCTGTGCCAGGCAAGGTCATCAGTCACCTCTCCTCCCACCAGACTGGGTGCTCTCGGTTCAAAACCGTGAGCATAGTTTGCACTTGGCTGCGGTGTGCAGAGGCCAGGAGAGCTGTGGCTCTGGGTGTGAGGCCAGTGTGAGCATAGTCCTCAGCCCTCACTCACACCTCAAGTCTCATGATGGTTTCTGTGAAGAAAATACTCAGTGTTTTTACTACACTTGTAATTTTCCTGTTTTATATTTGGAAAGAAAACTTTTTTGACACTCTCAAGACCATTCAGGGAAACTTTTTTAAAAACGCAGAGACTATTTCGAGCTGGTTAAAAATGCAGATTTATTGAGTGCCGCTTCCTGTCAGGCGAGCAGTGCAGGGTCACATCCGTCAGTGCCCGTGCTGTGCCTTAGCTTCACTTGGTGCCGGGACTCAGATGGCTGCAGTGCGCCGGCCATGGCTGCCCCAGTGGGCCTCATTCTTTGTGACAGGTCAGAGAAGCCCACCCACCTTCAAGCAGGATACTTCGGAGTTTCTCTACCATCGCTGGCGGTGCTGCAGGTGCTGCCAGAGCACAGGAAGGTGCTCACGGGAATGACAGCGGTGGCTCCTTCCTCTCTGGGATCTCATCTGCAGGTGCCACGTGTGCAGTTCCCAGGGCCCAGCAACCACACCTGTTCCCAGAAGAGGACTGTGTGCCTGTTGGTAGAAGTTAGAGCTCTTCCCGTACCCTGCCAGCTGGCTGCAACCCAAGGTGACAGGGCAGAACTGATTAGAGAGCTGGTGGCAGCGCCAGCCTCTGTTCCCAAGTCCTATCCTTCTGCTCTTGGATTTGGACCCCACTGGAGCTGTTCTGTAAAGAGACAAAGCTGTATGAACCACCTCGATACCTCTGCCACCAGCTGCGGCCAGGAACGCCCACTGCCCCAGTCACGGGCTGCAGCCACATGGGAGCTCCAGGTGGATGTGGTGAAGGGGCTGCCAGGCTGACCTTGCCATCACTGCCCAGGGCCATATCTGGCACTGGGGTTGTAAAGCTGTAGAACTCTTAATAAATTGAGAATTATTAATTTCAGTTTGTTGCATTTCTCTTTTTATTTTTTTTAGCCTGCCACTACTTTACATGGATCTAGAATGTCTAACAAAAGGCTGATGGCTGGACAGACAGGAGGAGTGCTAGGAGTTCAAGGCCAGCCTGTTCTACAGAACAAGCTCTTTATTCTGGATCCCTGGCACTAGCCATGGGTTGTTTCTTTTGGGTTTTTTGTTTTGTTGTTTTGTTTTTTCTGACTGTCCTGGAACTCATTTTGTAGATCAGGCTGGTCTCAAACTCACAGAGATCTGCCTGCCTTTGCCTCCTGAGTGCTGGGATTAAAGGCGTGCGCCACCACCATCCTCTCCATCTAGGTGCTTGTATAAGTCAGATAGCAGTAACAGAAAAATGTTTCTGACATAGGACTGTGTGTTTGGGGTTGCAGCCATGGCGCTGAGGGTGACTTCAAGGCACTGGCATCCTTGGTCTCTGTCCTGTGCCACTTCTGGAATAGCTAGGACCCTGGCGGTTTCAGGTGCTAGGTTTAGGGACTAACATTTTGTTTCAAGAAAGTGTCCCCGCCCACACCAAGCCCCACTGTGTGCTGCCTCCTGTGCCTTCAGGTGCCCGCCTGAAGATGGCAGTAACAGAAAAATGTTTCTGACCTGGCTGAGCTTGTACCTTGTCACCTGCGCTCTGCTGACCTGTGTGTCTGGACCACAATGCCCTACAAGGGATGTGACCCAAGAGCAACCCTGTTCAAGCATCCCATGACCTTTTCTGAGGAAGGTGCTCACATATACAGCCCTATGATTATGCACAGGAGATGCCTGTGGTCATATTAGGAAGAAGGAAGTTTCTCCTGAGAAATCAATTCACCTTGAAAAAGAATTTGATAGTTTCTTTCATGGAAGCTTATAGTCAAATTTGTAGTCCCTCGCCTGGTAAGTATGTTGAACTTCACAGTAATTTGAGTCTATTTTTTTTTTCCCCCAAGACAGGGTTTCTCTGTGTAGCCCTGGCTGTCCTGGAACTCACTCAAACTCAAAGATCTGCCTGCCTCTGCCCCCAAGTGCTGGGATTAAAGACAGGTGTCTTTATAAACTTAGATTTACTGAATCCTTTTCTTCCCTCTTGGACCCTGTTTACTTATGAGTGTGACCAGAGGCTGGGGAATGATTTGGAGACGTGGGGTTGATTGGTGTAGTCAGTCACCTGCGGTGACTGGTCTCCAGTTCCAGGTTGGAGCCCCAGAATGCGAGGTCAGATGGACCCTTTAAATCACTAGCTAGTTTGGACCAATTTTCTCTGGTTTATACATATGAATATTCTTAAGAAGCGTTTGGAGGGGGCTGGAGAGATGGCTCAGTGGTTAAGAGCACTGACTGCTCTTCCAGAGGTCCTGAGTTCAATTCCCAGCAACCACGTGGTGGCTCACAGCCATCTATAATGAGACCTGGCGCCCCCTTCTGTCATGGCGGGCACATGTGGAAGGAATGCTGTACACATAATAAATAAATAAATCTTTAATTAAAAAAAAAGCGTTTGGAATTCTATAAAAACATGATTCAGACCTGGCAGCCAGCTCCATTAGCTTCACACTGGAGATCAATTTGCAAAACATTGGAACACACAGGCTTCTACCCTGCTGCCCAGGAAGCTTGCCTGCCCCAGTAGCATACTCTTCTATAAATCTTATATAAACGCTGAGTGTGGGGATGGGGGCCCCCAGCCACCTCTGCTGGGCTGCAGGCTGAGTGATCTCTGGAGCCTTGAGGTCAAGGTCCTCGTCCACCAGCTCAAACACTAGAAGTCTGGAAACTGCCAACTGTAACCAAATGGTCTCAGATTAGTGCCCTGGTGTTAACCACTGGTGAGGCCCTAGCAGCTTCCAGGCTGGAATAGCAGTGGTCTCAGGGAGGCCTTGGAAGGATGGGAGGGCGATGACTAGTTCAGCCTGTAGGAAAAAATGGCAATCTACAGGAAGACTGACTGGTGCTTGGTGTCAACTGTACTAGCAAGACTCTCCATGTCCTCCGGTTCCAATTGTCAACTGCAGACACCTGCACAGGGCCAGGGAAGTGTGTTTATCTCTGGAAAAAATGAAAAGCCTGGCAAAGGCCCTCACTGGGGCACTGGTGACAACAGTGTTTTATTGCCAATGGAATTCAAACACAGGGAATACTAGACACAGGGCAAAGGAACTGGCTCCCTCCCACAGTCCCGGACCTTGGCCCATGGTTGGTAGCTTTCCCAGGGCACAGGGCAGACAACTGGAGGGAAGCTGGGCACCTATCCAGCTCAGCTGCTGTCTCTATTGGTGTCCTGGATATCCCCACCCGCAACTATTTTTCCTCACAGGCTCAAGAAACACAAATTTATTCCAACTGTCAGTGGCAGGCAAGGCCAGGCCTCCAAGTTTGGGCTGCTCCACCTGGGGGCCCCACAGGAATTCCTGAGCCCCCAAAAGGTGGGCTGTGGCTTTTGTTTGTTTTAGCTTCTTACTGAGCTGAAAGTTCCCAGCTTCAGGAGGACTGAAATCTACCCATGAAGGTGGGTGATAAGCAGCCATACTGGTGAAGGCAGCCAGGCCAGGAGAAGGGAAAACAGGAAGTGGGAGGGTGGCTCAGAGTCCGGCTGGGAATGGAAACTCAAGAGCAGAGGCAGCACCTGAGCCAGGGCTGCCCCAGGCACAGCCCAGCAGCAGCCCGGCCACACTGTTGCCAGGCCCCCACACAAAGCCTGGTTTCCTGGGACTCTGAGCATGGATGCCCTAGCACCAGGCCCCCAGAGGATGATACAGCCTAACCTACCTGCTCTCCCTCAAGGGCCACAGGTCACCCCCTCATCCCCAAAAGCCAGCAGGGGACCCTTTCTTTCTGTCCACTTACAGCCTCAGACTTTGGAGCTCAGAGGCAGGACAGCTCCTGGCATGTGTGACCTGTCCCCAGTGTACGGACTAGACTGGGACAGAGAGGGCTAACAATATTCACACTGTCCCAGATGTTAGCTGCAGTTGTGGCTCAGGCCTGCTGGTCCCGGCTGCTCTGGGCAGTTCCTACTAAGATAAATAGACTCAAATCCAGATCAACTACCCCACGGAGCCAAGACGCATTGGGCTGGTGAAGGCTGCTTCGGGTCCCAGGTGCAGGAGTTCAAGCCTCTCAGAGGCCCCTTGACCATTGCCAGACGTAAGGCCCAGCATGACCACCAGCCATCCCGCTGCACACCTCGAGGCCTAGTAGTTCACAAGTTGAGCTGGGTAGACACCGTCCTTTGTGTTGAGCTGCAGGAGTCAAAGATGAGGGGCTCAGTAGACGAGGCCAGAAGCACACGCACCATCCAGGTACAGACACACGCATGCATACACACACATACACACACATTCACGCACGCACGCACACACGCTCACTCTCCTCCCTAACCCAACACTGATGCCTGGCACCTGGTTGTCTGGCCTGGGGGCTATGCTGGGTTTCTGAGCCAAGGGTGGTTTCTTGGTGGCTGAACCCCGGGGAGCTGGGCTGGGTCTGCTGGGTTCTTCCTCTCCAGGTGTCCCCATCACCCCGGCCAGGACATAGTGCTGTCTGCGCAGTTCCCCGAGCCGTACACGCTCCGCCTCCAGTGTCTTCTCCAGCTCCAGGACTCGCACCTGCAGGCCAGAGCCAGCTCAGCACTCAGCGCTGCCCATGAGTCCCAGGGACTTTCCCAGAGACCAGTCTCGAGGGAGCCTGGCAGCTGGGGGCATGAGGGCGCTCACTTGCGTCTCCATCTCCTGTTTCTTCAGCTTGATGAGGGACAGGCCGGAGAAATCCATGGTGTCTGTGATCAGGAGGAAGAGGAAGCTGAGCAAGCTCTCCCACCAGCTCTGGGAGACCCCTGACTGTGCAGCACTTGCCTCTGTCCTCGATCTGCTCCTGGCCGGACTTGGTGGAAGCCACCACGTTAGCAGCCCTCTCATTGACAGAGCGGGAACACTCCTGCAGGCGGCTCAGGTGGGGGCTGTGTTTGTCAGCTTTTACCTGCAGGGAGCACAGTGGGCACCATCTGCTGGCTACAGGCAGCCAGTGAGGGCCCCAAGTCCAGGCTTGACACAAACACTGGCACAGCCTCTCACCTTTGAGGCTGCCACCAGCTGGGCAGTGCTGGCTGCAATCTCATGTGAGCAGACGATGAGTTCCTCATATTTACCCATGTGAAGCACCACCTTGTCAGCCGACTCCCTGAGGGATGGGGACCAATCAGGGTCTGGGGCTCTGCACCATAAACAAGTAGGGCAACCCACACACCAGACCTAAGCGCCTGTCCCGGCCCACCCCCATCTGGGGCGACATACACCAACTGTGTGGCTCCCCAGCCCACTGCCTTAGAGGCGGAGATGAGGCCTTCAGTCCACCGTGAATTCTTGGCATAAAATTCCTGCTGCGTGGCTGCCCCCTAGTGGTGATGAAAGGACAAGACAGAATGAAGGACATTTCAGGGAGGAATGGGTGCCCAGAGGGCATATCCCTGAAGCCTCCCTGAGATGTGGGGATTTTTAGATGTGGCAATGGACACTGTATGGTGGGGTGGGGGTGTCATGCACAAAGGGGTCGGGGCTCCAAGGTGAAGTCTCTTTCTGACCCAGGACCATGGCCCTGCCTGCTCACCCTGCCGCTCTCCACGATTTCCTTCTGCAGGCTGGTGGAGGTCATCACGAGGAGCCGGATGGCCTGCCAAGACCAAGATATGACTGATTCATCCTCCAGGTGGTCCCGACGCAGAGCCTGCCCTAGGGTCACCCACCGCACTCACCTTCATGAGGTCTGTGCAGGAGTTGAGGATCCTGGGGAGGAGCAGGGAAGAAAGAGCAGACAGCTAGCAGTGTGGCCTTGTGACATCATGCAAGGCTCAACCACAGCAGGGCAGGGGACATGTGCAGCCTCGTGCCCAGGCCCTGGGGCCGGGAGCGGTACCCACCTCTCGTTCACCTCCAGCTTCACTCCTGAGCTCTCATGGCGGGCCTGGTTCATCATGTCCTGTTCCGTGACAGAGAATGAGCCAGCAGGTCGCAAGATACTACCTACCGCTCTCAGAGGCAGCCTCCAGCCCCTTAGTTCCTTTCCTGCAGGAACTGGGAGTCGGGACGCTCGGTCCTCACCTCAATCCTCCGCACAGCATCCTCAATGGCCGCAGAGGTGGCTGCCATCTCCTTGTCAACCATGGCCCCGAGCTCCTCTTGCCGCACATCCAGGCTCTTAGGCTTAAGGTCCTGGGACGGCACAAGTCAGACAGGGAGATTCACCTACATCAAGGCCCAGCGAAGCTGTGCAGGGAGTAGCAGGCTAGGGGCGGTGTGTGCAGGTGCAGCCCTGTGTCCTGACGCTGCGTGCTCACAGCCTGCACACCTGCATCCTAGCTCATGGAACAAATAGAGAAGTTAGCCCCACTTCAGCCCACACTCTGCCTTGGATGCACACCTCACCTGGCCCAGCTGAAGAAGACCCTGCAGGGGGGCCCGCATTAGGCTGGGCTGTGCCCTTGGTAGCACTGTCCGGTCCTGCAGCTGGCCCGTGAGCTCTAGAGCCCGGGCTCCACATTCCCTGCAAGTGTCAATCAGGCCTGTTGGGGTTAAGGAAGGTTTGTGAGGAGAGCCTTTGCCTAGAGTCCTGGAAAAGGTCCCCACATGCCCTGGCCTACGACCTAATGCAAAGCCTTGTCCCCTGTACACTGTGAAGACCCCTGTGTGAGACAAGGTGATGCAGCCAGGCCCTGCTACCAGGATCAACTTACGGTCAGCAGGGTCAGTGGGGGCCAGGTGGGAGGTGGCGCCACCATTGACGATGGTGTCCGCGGTCAGATGGGAGAAGCGGGTCAGTGCTGCCACCAGGGCAGAAGCATCTGCAGGTGGATAAGGCCGAGGTCGTCGGGAGGGAACAATGAGATTCTTGGCGTGGGGAAACACCAAGGCAACTGCATCATTTTCTCAGCAAGCCTGGGCCAAGGCCCCAGCACCCCAGCATGGATGAGGACAGAGGGCACGCTGAAGTGGCTGAGAGGTCATTTACCAAGCAGAGCCGGCGTAACCTCAGGCTCCGTACTCCCTCTACTTCCTACGGGCACAAGGCTCTGAGTGGCAACAGGCTTCCTGGAGAGGCATCTATCACTCCAAGACCCCCCCCCCCCACCCGGCAGCCCTAGCTTCAGGAGCCCTACAGAAACTACAGGTCCACTCTACCTTCCACCTGTCCTCACCTTCAGAGCAAGTCAGGTACTGGCTGTGGCCCTTCTCCAGGGCACTCACCGTGTCCAGGGCTGCCTGGGCCCGGCTCACCAAGTAGTCTGCAAGCACAGGGCACAAGTGTAAGGCCTCAGTCCGCTGCCACCTGTTTCTCACGAGTGGGTGACAGGAGCAGCCTGCCTGCTGGGTGAGCCGCCTCCTGGAGCCCTTGTGCACACACCTGGGGAGCTGGTACAGCGCAGATGCAGGGGGTCATCCAGCTTGCTCACTGCATCCTGCAGAATGGCCTCCGCCTCGGCAGCAGCGCTGCGCAACACTGCAAACTGGTCGTCCAGCAGCTTCTGCCGCAGCCCCTGCTCCTGCGACTCCTGAGGGCAAAGAGACGAAACCTTCAGACCCTTCAAGGCTTGGCTCCAGGGACTGACAGTGGGAGGCTGGTCAAGGCCAGCTGACTCCCTCCACAGAAGGATGTCCTAGCCTAGCTGGGGTAGAGTTCTAGACCATTTCCCTACCTCCCAGGGCTTGGAAGACTGATGGGGTGAGATGGAGTGGGAGTGGGGGGCAAACAGCTCAGTGAGAAACAGCCCAGGACCTAGACAGGCTTATCTCAAAGGCCACTGGGCACACAGTAAGCTGTTCAATAGCTGGCAAAATGGCTCAGCAGGTAAAGGTGCCTGCCACCAAGCATGGCGATCTGACAACCGGGGTTCAGTCCCCGAAACCCAGAAGGTAGAAGGGAAGAACTGACTCCTGTAGGCTGTCTTCTGGCCCCCACCATGAGCCCCACCCCCAACAAAATAAACTGTTTTCTAAAAAAGAAAGAAAGAAAGAAAGAAAGGGCATTCTGCATCATCAGACAATGAGAAAATGCAAATCAAAATCTCAATCACAATAAACAACGCTGAGGGGTGGGGCACACCCAGGACTCAGAAGGCTGAGACAGGAGACTAGGAGACTACCCTGACTTTGGCTTTGAGGCTAGCCATATATATATGGAGAGAGAGAGAGAGAGCGCGAGAGAGTGCGCACCTGCCTATCTGAAAACAGCAAGGGCTTTGTACCCACGTAACTGGACCCATGTAACTGGCTGAGATGAGAAGACAGTCAAAAAGATGGCAGGGATGTGGAGAACTTGGAACACATTTCTCGGGCCTGGGCTGCTTTTGCGAGAGGTAAGAATGTCTCAGCCGTGGAAGGGAAGCCAGGCTCCGAGCACAGTGAGAATACTGACTCACTCACACCAAAGGGTGCGCCTCACAATGTGGCAAGGCGGAGGGAGGCCATACCTTTTCTGCCAGCCGCCCCTGCAGCTCGCCCTTCTCCTGGGAGCTACGTTGCTGCTCCTGGCTGAGGGCTTCCTCCTTCTCTCGCACCAAGCTCTGGGCAGCCAGCAGCTCTGCTTCCCGCTGCCGCATGGCTCCACTCAGTGTATCCTTCTCTGCATTCAAGGTGTCCAGCCGTGCGCTCAGCTCTGACCCGCTCTGTGAACATGAAGAAGGCCAACAGCCATGCCAACCCTGCCTGGCCTTACCCCTGTGCTTACAGCCGTGTCTTATTATCACACCACTCCCAAGACACTGAGAGCTTCCTGCGGTCATGGAGGCACCTGGCCTGTTGGGGGGCCCATTGCTGTGTAAGTATGGCCCGGTTTACAGGAAAGAGGACCCAGCTTGTGCCAGCTGCACGCACCTGCTCTGTGCGGATCAGGGCCTCCTGTGCATGGGCCAGCTCTCCTGCCTTGGCTGCCAGCTCCCTCTTGAGTTTCTCCAACTGGTCACTCTGCTCCTCCATCTAGGAAGGGACAGCAGGTCAGTAGGGCAGCAGGGCTGGGATGGCGTGGGGCGGGGCCACACACACTCAACACACCTTCATCTCGGACTCACGCTTCACTTGTTCCATCTGGAAGGCCAGCTGCTCTTTCACCCGCGCCACCTCTTCCTGACTCTGCTGTGTCACCGTCAGCTGCTTGGCTGTGTCTGCATTCTGGAAGGCAGGAGACGGGTTCTGATTCTGGACCCCTGGCCACACCGCCCTTCCTGAGGCTGGGACCCACCTTCCTGAGCAGCTCGGCATGCGTGTTAATGAGCTCGTTGTGCTTCTCCTTCAGCTTGCTGTAGCGTGCCTCCGTGGCACTGGCTTTCCCTGCAGAGAGGCAAGGCTGAGTGAGATGGGCAGGCAGGATAGAATCCACCCTCATCCTGCTGCTGGGTACCACCACAGAGGCGCGCACTCTCCGCCTCCTCTCGCAGACTCTGGTTCCGGGCGCCTTCCAGCTGCACGGCCTTCAGCTGGGCCAGCTGGTGCCGCAGCTGCTCCTTGTCCACCAGGGCTTTCTGCTTCTGCTTCCGCTGCTCCTCCAGCTCTGCCTCCAGGGCGTTTACCTGACCCTTCAGCTGTGAGATGTACCGCTGGGCCTGCAGGGCAGGAGGGAGCGCATGGAGCCCAGGTCCACCCAGGTGGGGACCGCCCTTGGCCATGCCCCCTCACCTCCATCTTGATCTTCTCCAACTCAGCACGGAGGGTTTCCACCTCTCTCTTCAAGTTCTCAATCTGGATGTCCCTGGGGTCAGAGGTCGTGGGGCTCAAGTTCATAGCTGGAAGGTCACAGACTGCCCAACGCAGACAGGGTCTGGTTCCTCACCAGGGTCTGTAGTTCCCACCTACGACCTCCAGTCAGAGTCTCTTTCTACCTTCTACCCCAGGTGGGCCCTGGGGACTCACCTGTCATCCTTCATGGAGCCATTGGGAGGTCCAAACGTCTGATCAAAGAGGTCAGCCACCACCTGCCATAGCAGAGAACATGGACCTCCATGGTGGGGAGCCCAGTGGAGGGGCAGACCCTACGTTGTGCCCAGTCTGGTGTCAGAGGCCCTTCTTCAGGGGACCAGACGGTGCAACACGGGGAAACTAGCAGGTGGAGAGCTTACCACAGGCTCTCCAGCAGGGGGCCCACTGCTGATCTCAATGAGGTTCTCCGGCTCCTCATCTTCCGGGGCCTCCTCCGGGATCACTACCACAGGCTTGATGTGCTCGGCCAGGGCTGAAGCCCGCAGGAAATTGGGGGGTCCCTGTAGGGACAGCAGGTGGGAGATGCTCAGCCACCTCCAGAAGCCTTCTGTGGACTCAGCCAGAGCCAGGAAGGAGCCAGGGGCCGTTGACTGTGGGTGGGGGGATGGGCACCTCGGGTAGTCTCGGGATCTGGATGAGCCTCTTAAAGTACAGCATGTCCGACGCTCGGCGGAAGAAGTTTTTGAGGCTGCAATGGAACAGGGAGACAGGTCACAGGGGAGCCATCAGCCCCCTCTCCAGCCATGCTCTGTTCCCCCACTTTAGGCTGGTACCTGTGAAACTGTTCGTGGAACCGGTCCCTGTGGCCTTGCAGGGTGTCCGCTGGGAGACCTGAGGGACACAAGTGGACAGGACCTCTCTGTACACTGCTCCAAGGTGTGCTTTCCTCCCTGCCCCGAGATTCTAGACCCGCGGGAGAGGGTCACTGTGGCCTGGCCAGTCCACTCTAACTGGGAAAGAGACTTCATGGGGTCATTCAGCTCTGACACTGACTCAGAGAGGGCGGCACTGGGGAGGTGGACATGACGCCAGGGCCATCGCCGCCTCACCTGCGCTGGCTTTGGGGCGGTCTTCAACCAAAGTGCAAGTTGCCCTGAGGACCACTCCTAACACTACAACGAAAGCCTTTCCACTACTGCTCCCCAGAAACATGGTGGGGGGCGAGAACGGGAGGGGCCACTGTCTTCTCCTATACCAGGTGTGCAGAAAGCCAGGAAAACAAAAACTATACGTATTGTCTCTCTGCTCTGGGAAATGGTGGTTTTCATAAACACATTACTATTGCTGGTCTTGGATGGCTTACAGGGGGTCTTTCTACTAGTGGCCCACCTCTCAGCCCTTCCTTTCAGTAACACGAGGGGCACAAGGCCCCATACGCCCACCCAGGACCGTGCAACTCACAGGCGTGCAGCTTGAACATGAGCTTCACGGTGTAGTGGTAGAGGTGACTGCAGTCCTGGATGACCTGGATGAGGGGCGCCAAGCGGCACTGCCCGGAGGACATCTGGGACACCGCGATGGCTGTGTTGAGCTGCCGGAAAACTGAGGAAGAGGAGCAGGTGGAAGTAAGTGTGAGCGGATGCAGCTGGTGGTGGGCACACCGTGAGCTCACACTGTGGTGGCTCTGGAATCAATGAGTGGCCTTCCACCGTGCTGCCAAAACCACAGTGAAGGTTTGAAGATGGTTGGGACTCTAATCTGGGCCTTCGACTGCCTGGACTGCAGCCCCTGTGCTGGTGGCTATCCTGGGCCAAGGACACACCCCCAGGAATGACAGGACAAGCAGGACAGCAAGGCTGAGCAATCCTCTTGATATGCTCCAGATCAGGAAGGGTTTTCCAGAACCTCCCACCAGGGTGGGCCCAAGACAGAAGTGAGTGCTCCACACCCAAGGCCCTGAACCTCAGAGAACAAAGATTGTTACCAAAGGCCAGAAAGATGGCTCAGTGGACACAGTGCTGGCCACTTAACCTGACGACTTACATGGCAGGAGAGAACTCTCCTTCAAGTGTTCTCTAACCTCCACACGTGTGCCACAGCACAGGCATGTCCACACACGTGCACACAAATAAAATGTAGTAAATTTGTTTAAAAGATTGTTGCTCCAGCAGGGCACGTCGTGCAAACCTATAAGCACTCAGGAAGCTCAGACAGGGGAACTGAGCTCAAGGCCAAATTGGACTACAAAGCAAAGCTTGTCTGAAACCAGCAGCAAGGGCTGCAGAGATGCTCAGGAGCTCAACAGCACTGGTTGCTCTTCCACAGGACCTGAGTTCCGTTCCTAGACACATATGGGGCCTCAGCCACCTGTAACGCTGCCTCCAGGTGATCTGACACCCTCTTCTGGCTTCTGCAGGCACCAGGCAATGCCCATGGTGCAGATGAACATGCAGGCAAAACACCCACACACATGAGACTGCCATTTCGATAGCTCATCCTATAGACGTGGACACAGACTAGGGTTTGTTCCAGGCCATGGCCTTGGACACAGGCTTTACAAGCCCCCAGTGAGCCAATCTCTCACTCGCCCTGGAGACCCTGACAATCAGGCCTTGTATCAGAACTCCAGAGGAGGGGGGGATAAAGGACAAACACGGAGCTGCCTCCTCCCTTGGCCTGCATCTTCTCTGGGGCAGAGAGAGGAATGACAACGAGCAGGCTCTGAGCCAGGGTGGGAGAGCAGCCAGGCCCCACGCTGGGCACTCTGAGCAGCACCAGAAGCCCCAGCCCCTGGAACCTTGCTCTACCCTACTGGGATGGGGTTGTTTGCGAGCTTTAGCAGCAGAGAGGTAAAAGCCGGGATGGAAGATGCCCTCCCTCACCTTTCCTTCAGTCCTAACTGGAAGTCGCACTAGGTACACTTTAGGTATCAAATGTGTGACTAAAATGTGTTTTGTAACCTGCCTTATTTCAGGCAGAATGCTCTAGTTCTTTCTGGCCAAGGTAAAAATGTCCTCTCACCCCTTTCTGTGTCTTCCTCTCCCTCCTTCCCAGGGTCCCCTGCATTCTAGGTAAGCATTCCACTACTGAGCTACAGCCCTGGCTAATGTAGACCAGGTTGGCCTCAAACTCAAATCTGCTTACACAGGCCTCTCCAGCACATAGATTAAAGGCATGGGCCATCATGCCCAGACTTCTTTTTACTTAAAGTGTTTTCCTTTATTTTTGTTTATGTAAGTGTTCTGCGTGTGCACCACCCGCATGCAGTGCCCTCGGAAGCCAGAAGCGGGCATCAGATCCCCTAGGACTGGAGTTAGATAGTTGGGAGCCACCATGAGGGCTCTGGGAATCCCCTGCAGGGTCTGAGGAGCACCCAGTGCTCCTCTCGGCCGAGGGCCCCCTCCAGTTCCCCTCTGTTCACTTTTCAGACTAGGTCTCACAAAGTTCCCCAGGTTGACCTTGAACTCACTCTAGCTCCTGATTCTCCCACCTCAGCCTTCTGAGTAGCATGTGTCTCTAACAGACTTGCGATCCCGTTGAAGGCAGTGTGTTGCGGTCGGCTCTCCTCTGCCATGTGAGAGGTTCTGCTTTCTGTGCTGTGGGCTGAGGCGAGGAGGCCCCGACACCTCACCTGTGCACCCAGGTGTGTCTTCAGAAGCTCAGTAGACAGTGAGGTCTTTGTACTTCACTAAAACATCTGTGTCACCAAGGATGGGGCCTGTGGGCTCTTCCCATTTCCCTTGTAGGGACCACAGCCTGCCTACCTGGGCCTCCTCCCAGGCCAAGAGCAGCCAGGGTGGGGACATGGGGTGTATGGCGAATCTGATGGCCTGTGTGCTCTGGGAAGCTTGGGCTTGGCTCTTTTGCCAAGACACAATTCCTGGTGGACTCGGTCCAGCTGCACTGCTGGGCCACACCCTGGTAACCTGACCTCTGCTCCCATGCTGAGCCCTGGGCAGGCTGCAAGCTGACCTCTCACCCACCAGAGCCACAGGCCCAGACCTTGGGTACAGGGGGGCTGTCTTGCCTCTTCCCAAGTCCCTGTTTCCCCTTAAAAAGGCATCTTGGGCTCTGCCATGGACAACACTGGGTCACCAGCAGTTGTTCTGAAGGTGCAGTCCAGAACAATCACCTCCCAGGCTGGGAGGGCGAGCCCTCTGAGATTTCCTGTCCAACGGCTGCCAGTTAGTTCTTTGGCTGAACAGTCTAACAGAACCCAGAGGCATTTCAGAACACAGCAGGAAATGTTACCCACATTCTCTCTCCCGGAGGGGACTGCAGCTGCTGAGGACAGGCAGGAGCCTAGAGTGCTCCTCCACAGCCCACACCACACCGCCTCCACATCCGGGACCCACAGAATAATGTTCAGATGCTGTGTCCTGGATGAACACACAGGGTCCCAAGGCAGTGCGGGGAGCAGGTGCACTTAAGACAGCGCCGGACTGCAGCAGGTGCTCCCCAGAGCATGCCCGGCACCGGAAAAAGCAGCAGTGAGAATGTCAGTCTGGTCACCACTGTCTCCGCAGCCTGGCATGAGCGATGTGCCCACCTGACTCAGAAAGCTTCAGTTCACAGTCCATGTAGTCAAACATCTCCACGGTAAGCTGGAAACTAGGGGAGAGAGGGAGGATGCACCGGGTGCAGGACACACCCACTAATCCCCAAGACTGCTTTGGAGCAGGAAGCACACTCCCCATCAGGTACACACTGAACCAAACAAACCCCACCCCTGGCCCATGTGAGACCATGACCTTCAACCCGAGAGGTGCAGCCTCATTTGACATCATGGCCCCTGGTGGGCACCTGATCTCAAACACTCAGGGGCGTGGGAGAAACTGAGGCACGCAGACTTACATGTTATTCACATCAGTTCCGGCTGCCTTCTCCAGCACCTCGTCTGTTACCTCCAGGCCTGCAGGAAACTGAGGGTGCTGCAGAGACAGCCCCCCACTCAGCTGCAGCCTTGCCGAGCAGCCACATACCAGGCCCCATCCCCGCTCCCGATGGTGCCACGAGGAGAGTGGCCAGGGAGGTTCCCCAATCCTGCCTTCCAGGGACCCCAGCCGCTGTGGTTAGGCCAAAGGGGCTGAGAATTTAAGGACAACAGAAAGCCTGGGGACAGGACAGGGGCAACCTGGCCAGGACTGAAAGATATGGCCACGGACCACAGCAGGCATCCACATTGGATCTGTGCAGACACGGAGGTGAGTTGGCAATCTCCGCCAGTCATCCCAGCCTCTATGGTAAGTGGACAGACCATGGACAGGACAGATTCCAACCCTCTGCTATGTCCCCAGATGTCCCAGAGGAAAGGGCTCCCCAATCCCTCAGCTCCACAGTTCTATTACCTTGAGGTGGAAGGAGATTTTGGTCAGCAACAGTTTGGTATAGATATTCACCAGGTGTCCATACTGGTCACGCAGGTGCCCCTGTGAGGATGGAGCCCAGTGTGAGGTCACTGTCAAGAGCAAGCCTAGGAATCCTAAGGACTGAGCACCCATCAAGGCAGAGGGAGAAACTAGGTGGCAAGGGTAGGAGGGCCACTCTTCACATGTCAGTCACTTTTCCCACCAGCCTTCACCAATCTCATAACTCTCTAGCTTCCTCCCCTCCTTAATCTTACTCCTTTGTCATTCTTGCCAGAAAAAGCCTCGTGAGAGGCAAGGAGAGCCCTTTGTCCAGGGAGACAGGCCAATTCTGAGCTGGGGCACTTCACTAAAGTGCTGCTGGCAGACAGGGGAGGCACATTCTGGCCTGTATGTAGAATCCGGCTCCTCTTGCAAAATGTCATGGTGTGTGGACACCAGTTTGGGGCTGGGCCTGTGGCAGGCACTGTGATGAATCAATAGAGTGTAATGGCTCTGGACAGGCAACAGCCTCCTGAGATCCACCCAGCTGTGTCTCAGGAGAGCTCAGAGAGTGAAGTCTGAGGCCCTTCCCTCCCAGGGCCATGACTTCTGAAGATATCAGAGTGGATCCAGACACAGCCCCCACCCCCGGGATCTGACTATGGGTCTGAGAATGGCCTGGCAAGTGCATGGAAAATTTCAGTCTGTAGCAGGGCTTCTGAAGCCACAGTCTAGGGGAGCCTGGGAGTCCCTGCTCTCCACACAGGCATGGGGTTGCTACCTTTTTCAACTCTCGGGGACTAACGGGCTTGCCTTATAGAGGTGGAGGCCAATCAGCGCTAAGCCCCAACAAGGCTACAACTTCACATTGACTGATGCTCAGCCTATATGGTAACCCCAACAACAATTGTAGCTGCTGCAGAGGGGGAGGAAAGATCAACCCAGGATGCTGCCCTCAGCCCGGCCACAATGCCTGGACGCTGTCCTCACACCTACCCACAGGTCGCCGACCTCACGTATGTTGCTCCGGTACCGCTGGCAGTCGTGCAGCACCTGGGGCCGGAAGGAAGGTGAGAGGACAGGATGGACAGTGGGCAGGCATGGCTAGTCCCAAGCGCGGGGGGACAGGTACAAGGACAGAACTATACCCTTCAACCGTGGTACGTGGGTGCTGTCAGCTGGTGAAATGCAGGCCTACTGAGCCCGTGAGACCAAAGGGCTACGGTCACTACTCACATTGGGGTGTCCGTCTCGGAGGACTTTGTGAAGGACATGGCAGAACTTCCAACTGAGGATGGAGCTGCTGGGCAGCGGCAGGCCAATGGCATAGGACCAGAAGGTGAAGGCCCCCTTCTCATGGTGAGTGCCCAGAATGATGCCTTAGAGGGTCAAGGCCAAGTGAGTGACACAGACAGAAGTGTGGGCAGTTACTGTGCAGAGAGCCCCTGTCACTGGGGCCTGGCACCCTCTGCAGTCCCCGGTCACAACAACTGGAGGTCTTGGGTCATGCTCCCCCAGCCCAGCATACCCTGGGTTTCCTGACACCTCCCCAAGGCCCAAGGGGCACAAGGATACGCCGGGCATGCTTCTCCTTCACAGGGGCCTCCTGACTGTTGATGGCTTTGCTGATGCTGATGGCCTATGAGGAACACAGAAGTAGGGTTAGAAACTGTCTGCAGCTGTCTAGCCAGCACAACCCAAAGGTGAATGGGCCACCTACTCCAGTGGAGGTGCGAGGAAAATCAACATGTTTGCCTGAGCCGTGCTCCCAGGAACCTCTACATGACCTGTAGCTGATGTCAACGCCACAGCAACCAAGAGCTCCAGGCTCAGGTGGGAGGAAAGCTGGGCTGTGGCTCAGAAAGACATGTCTGATCTACCTCACATTGCTCTCCCTGAAGAGGCTCCCAGACTCCAGGAGGAGTGACTAAGGGCACGGCCAACACAGCATCCTCTATCCAAGTTCCTCACCAGGAGGAGAAGCAGCAGAGACTTGGCCCTTGGCTCAGCTGAGTCCCTTGTCCTCACAGTGCTCCTTCTATAAAAGTACGTTACCCCTTTCCTGTACAGCAGGGCCCACAGCAAGGCTGTCAGCAGACGGCCAGCAAGATGCACGCAGAAGCCAGGCCCTGTCACTGGTCGCCACACCATAGGTGCCTGTTCATGCCACTGAGAAGGACAACTGTGGCCTCTTGGGGGAGGGGGAAGCCAACGGAGAATCTGCTTTGTCACCTGAGAAGGAAGAAGCCTCACTTGACCGAAACCACAGCCATGGTTCCTGAAGGTGGTTCTAATCTCTGCCGGCCACATCTTATTTCCCCAGCTCAACACCATTCAGGAAGGCTTCCTTGCAGCAGGAGGGCACACACAGCAAACACCATCCCTCACCCAGTCCTCCTGAGACTCCACTGGGAGGTCGGTGTTTCTGAACTGAGAAAAGCTCCCCAGTTCATGCTGCATTTTATTTAACTCTGTGAAGCTGTGATTCTTTGCCTGTCTACACAGGTCCAATAAAGAGCTGAATGGCCAATAGCAAGGCAGGAGCAAGGATAGGCAGGGTTGGCAGGTAGAGAGTATAAATAGAAGAAGAAACAAGAAAGAAGAGGGGAACAGTAGGGGCCAGTCACCCGGCTAGCCACAGAGTAAGATATACAGAAGTAACAAAAGGAAAAAGCCCAGACACAAAAGGTAGATGAGATAATTTAAGTGAAGAAAAGCTGGCAAGAAACAAGCCAAGGCCAGGCAGTCACAGCTAAGAATAAGCCTCTGTGTATGATTTATCTGGGAGCTGGGTGGTGAGCCCCTCAAAAAACAAAAGGGGCAAACACATCACACAACACCCCAGTTGGTGTCTCAGATCTAAGTGGATGCCCCAGCACTCGCTGAGCAGGCTGACTCAATTCTCCTATAAAAGTAGCCAGCCCGGTGGGGCTGCCAGGGTGGGCACGGGCTGCTCCTTAGCTGGACCCTGCAACCCACAGTCCAGCAAGGCACACTGATGCCCTTTCACACACAGGGCCTATTATGAGAGACTCACTGGAATTTGGGGACCTGGGACTGCAGCCGAGTCCTCCCACCTCACTGAACTAGGGTCCTGAAGGAACACAAGCAGGGTCTGTCTTCACAAGTACACAAAGCCTCAGCCAGCCAACCACCTGTTCTCATGGGTGCTGAGCCTACATCCATGGCCCCCAGGTCTCTTTTTCCTCACAAACACAGGGAGGTCACCCAGCAGCTGAGGTGAGGCTGTTGCTCTGAACACTAAGGGTACCTCACCTCTACTGAGGGAAAGCGGGCACAATGGCAGCCATGGGGACAATCAGAGAGACCTGGCGAAGGCCAGCACTGCACACACCTCCGGGAAGCCACTTTGGAGATGGCGACTATGCTGTTTCCTTAGAGGAAACTGAAGCGCAGAGGGCCCAGTGTCTTGGGTACTGATCTGTTGGCTCCGTGATGTGTCCTCAGCGTGACTGTGACACGGCTTCCAGGTACAGCTCTCCCCTGGCAGGAGTCACGTGCTAAGTGGGCTGGGCCACCCAGAGTAGCAAGCAGCTGTGGCTCACAGCAAGAAGTGTCCCTCCCTGGGCTATGGAACCACAACCTTCATTGCCTTGACATCTGAGCTGGGAGCTGGCTCTAATGATGAATGCCACCTGTTCTGGAAGATTCCTGGCAAGAAGGGAGAAGATGGAGCTGCCCTGGTGGCCCAGATGACAAATGACCAGGGTGGGGTAAGACACTTAGAAATGGTGAGTACAGTCTGGGAACGGGCGAGCAGGGAATCTTTTTCTTCTGAGGAAAAAGACCACCAAGAGGCCATGACAAAACCTTCCAGACCCCAGGCCTCCCCAGCCGGCAGCGGAGTCTCTGCTTTTCTTTGCCTTAAAACAAAAACAAAAACCAGGGGCCAGTGTTAAGCTCTTCCAAAGGTCCCAAGTTCAGTTCCCAGCACCCACATCAGGAGTTCACAACCACTAGTAACTCCAGCTCCAGGATCAGACCACTGGCCTCTCTGAGCACCTGCACTCACCTGCACACACAGCTAAAAACCGTGGGGGATCTCTGCGCCCACCTCGGCCAGCAGGGTAAAAATCTGAAGCGGGCAAAGAAGGCAGTCCAGTTCTACAGGACTCAGTAGCCAGTGTTGGTTCAAACTTTGAGAGTCTGACTCCTAAACATCTCTCTTCACATTGTGTGCATGCATGTGAGCATGTGCATGCGTGTGCTTGTGTAAGCACATACATGACATGGCATGAGTGTAGAGGTCAGAGGACAACTCAAAGGAATCTCTCCTTCTACTGTGTAAATCCCAGGATCCAAAGTCCGGTTGTCAGGCTTAGTGGCATCACCCTTACCAGCTGAGACATCTCAATACCCTACCCCTTTTTAAATAGGGTTATCATGTAGCTTAGTTCAAACGCACTATGGAGCTGAGGCCGAGCTTGAACTCCTGACCCAAGTTCTAAGATTAAGGGCATGTGCCACCACCGCCCGGTGGGCCTCTGCTATCTTGAGCCCCCGTGTAACACACCCAGCCCCCTCTCTCCAGCGAACCCCTCAACCCCTTTGCGGTTGTGTTTAGATAGGGTCTCTTGTGTAGTTCTGTCCAGCCTGAAACTATGTAGACCGGGTTGGCTTGCAAAACGGATCTCTTCCGGACTCTTCCTCCCAAGTGCTGGGATTAAAGGTGTGCGCCACTACAACGGGCTGCCCTTGGCCCTCTTTAAATATGATTTATGGTTCTCCAAATCCCCATCTGATATTGTTACTCTCTCAAGTCACCTCATGGCATGTCAGTGGCATGTGGCAGCAGGCCTGCCTCTGCGTGTGCGGCTGGCTGCCCCCACGCTTACAGTGCTGCAGTAAGGTCATGAGGTACCGAGGAATGCGACCTGGGAGGGGACATGGCAGGGTCTTCTGTGAAGGACCTGGGTGCCATCCATCCCTGAATTGACCACAGGGATAGGACTGTGTCAGCTAGCCATCCTGTGCAGGCGCAGGCTGGCTCCTGGGAACACAGGCCCGTTGTGTGCAGGGTAGGCAGATGTGTGGGGTGGCCAGCGCCACACAAGGAGGCCCAGTGCTCACACAGTGGGAGTCTGTAGGGACTCCTGGCCCTCAGTCATCCTCCCAGGCAGCAGCATGCAGACAGGGGTGGCACCTCCCACCTCCCCTGGGCTTCCCGCATGGATTTTCCTCAGGGAGGTGGCTATGGGTCACATCTGAGCAAAGAATGGAGTTAAGAGCACTTCAGAATCTCACTGTGTGGGGAATATCTGACTGACCCTAATATGTGACATAGCTCTATTCTGAGGCTAAAGTGTGGTATGGTCTGACCTCAGTGAAACTTGGGGTCCTGGAACCATGTCACCCCCATGGAGCAGGTGGAAAACCACAGAGCAGAGGAGGGAGGGAGAGGAGGGAATCCTGGCCCGAGGACATTCTTCTATCACCCTGGTACGTCAGGAGTGGCAGCAGCTCCTCTCAGGCAAAGGTGATCCCTCCTGGCTCTCAGGGTCTACCATCCTGGACATACCTCAGGGAAGGACAACCTCAAGATCAGGATGGAAACCCAGCTGGGTACCTGGATGCTTATCATACCCTGAGTCCTGTCTGACTCCTCAGAAAGCCAAGAAGAGCCATTGCCATCCAGCTGAGAGAAGAGGAAGTGTGCACCAGGGGATCCCAGAGATACCGGGGTCTCTCCCTATCTTTTTTTTTTTTTTAAGACAGGATCTCACATGTAGCCCTGGCTGGTCACTATATAGACCATACTTGCTTTAAAGTCACAGATTTATCTGTCTCTGCCTTTCAAGTGCTGGGATTAAAGGCGTGCACCACCAGGCTTGGCCCCGTCTCCCTACTTCTGCACAAAGCAGACGAGGCCCTCTCAGTCAGCGAGGAAACAAGGCAATAACAAACTTCATGCCAACTGTGAGATGCCAAGAAATTGCTGTCAGCGGACATGACAGAGGGTAGGCAGGGGTTGGATCTTAGCATATGGGTCACTGTAAGAAATGAGGCAAGTCCACACCTATGCCCCAGGAGCCACCAGTCACTGACGGGTTCTGCATCTCATTCCATCCAGTGCCAGTACCAGGAAGGACTGACCTCAGAGGGACAGAGGCCAGGAGGAAGTTCAGGGCTGCCACCCAGGGCCATGGAAGGACAAACATCTCACAGCTAGAAGACAGCCTCGCTAGCACAGCCAAGCTCGAGACCCCACAACGTGTGCCACGGGGCCAGCAAGCAGGACTCAGTAACATAATGATTCCACCCATTTACTGAGTTTATCCTTGTGCCAAGCGCTTGGCCAGGGTACCTCACCGGGTCTTCAGGAGAAACCCCAGAAGAGCCCAGTCATAGAGACAAAGCGCACTGTGTCCCCTTCTCCACCCTCACGGATTGTGTGCTGTGATCTCACGGGAAGAGCAGCGTGGAAAACAGAATGTCTGCCCACTGTCCCTCAGTGACAAGCGGCTGGCGGGACTCACTCCCAGGCCCCTGGTTCTGGAGAATGACCTAGGCAGCCTCTCTGGTTCTCTGAAAGGACAGTTCAGGAAGACATGTCCATGTAGGTGTCCTTTTAGCCTACACTAAAATCAAACTTACCAGGGACACCAAACACAGAGGACCTGGCCTCACTACAGATCAAGACATGGATTCTGGACGGTGGAAGTGTTGGAGGTCATGGGTTATAAGGGCTAGGCTGGGTCCCTCCCCCAGGCTCATGCCTTGGTGCTGGACTCCTGACGCTGAACCTGGCCTTCACCTCCCTACCTTGGATCCTCATAGCAGCTTCAATCTTAAATCCAGGTTGGACCTCCAAAAAGGCTCCTAGGGGAGCCCATGTCCATGTTCTCAGGGTGTACCTGTCCTGCTTATCCACAGCAACTCCATTCTTCTGTCTCAGACCAAAAAAAAAAAAAAAAAAAAAAAAAAAACCTTAGGAAGGATGACTGGACCAGGTCAAATGAAGCCCACTGACTCCTGAGAAGATCAGAGCTGCCTGTCAACAGCCCTGGACCGTGACCTACAAGGGTCCCTAGCAGGCATCCTAAAGGGTCCTGTTTCAGCAGAGGGGACTGGGTGAGACAGGAGACACTTCCTACATGAGCACATGGGTGAGAGGTGGGCTGTGTGTTCAGTGATGTCTCACCAGCTCTAAGGCCTCATGCAGACCACACCACAGCTGAGACCCAACAAAAGGGGGCTCAGGACACTGTGGACATCCAGCACACGGAAGAGCCATGGTTGGGTTGGCAAGGGGGCCTCAGGGCTCCTCAGACAACGCTCAGTGTCAGCACTGTGTTCTGCAGCCCACAGCCCCACAGCCCAGGGAGCACAGAATCGGCATGGACTTGATGCACCGCTTTCTTTTCCGGGAGCCCACACACCCAAGGCAGGAGGCCCTTTCCACCCAGCTCCTCAGCTGGCGCCCCAACACACCGGCAGACACCACTTTAGACACTTCCTGACTTTAGCTCCCCCGGCTGTGAGGCAGAAGAGAAGACATGTCAGCTCTAGACAAGAGGTCCTGTCTTGGGTTCCATCCCCAGCAAACAGAAGGAAAACCCAATCAACACACAGCACCTGTCAAACCATCTCTAGGACCGTCCCCACACTGCGTCCTGCTCCTCAGGGAACCAGACCTCCCATCACAGCGCTGAGCCTCTCAGCAACCTGTCCACAGCTACCCTGACTACAGCAGCTACCTGTAGCTGTAAGATATCCTAGATTTTGTTCATTTGTTTGTTTTTGAGACAGTTCATGACTGGCCTGGAACTCAGAGATCCACCTATCTCTACCTGGGGCTAAAGGTGTTCATCCCCATGCCTGGCTGTGTCCGGGTTAGCTTCATTAAGAGCATTTGTCCGCTGAAATTGTCTGCTTAGATGATCACTTACATCCTGTCTCCAACTCCATGAACACACAGGTACCCCACTCCCATCCATGAGTTTCACACTCAAAGATTCGACCAAATGCCAACTAAAATATTCAAGGAGAAAAATCTGCATTTGGACTGCCCCCACACAGGTTTGGTCCTCGTAAGTTCCTGAGCAATAGAGGATAACAGGTCATGTATATGTAACTGGTACTGTATCAGGTACAGGTACATGATTTAAATTATGTGAGTGCATATATGTAAACCACATGTGAAAACCGCACATTTATACAAGGGACTTGAACATCCGTGGATTCTGGTTTGTCTGTTTTGAGACAGGGTCTCACTGTGTAGCCCTGGCTAGCCTGGAACTCACTATGTAGACCAGGCTGGCCTGGAACTCACAGAGACCTGCCTCCTGAATGCTGGGTCACAAGGTCCCTCAGATCCTGGTATTTTCAGAGGTCCCAGACCTAATTCCCTAGACCAGTGGTTCTCAACCTATGGGTCGCAACCCCTTTGAGAGGTTCAAACAACCCCTTCACAGGGGTCACATATCAGACATCCTGCATATCAGATATTTGCATTGCAATCCATTACAGTAGCAAAATTACAGCTATGAAGTAGCAATGAATATAATTTTACGGTGGGGGGGGGCAGCACAACATGAGGAACTGTATTAAAGGGTCGAAGGTAGGAAGGCTGAGAACCACCGCTCCAGACACTGAGGATGAGCATGCGGCTTCCACTCTAGCATCTGCAGGGCACTCAGTAAGTCTCTGTGGACACGTGAGAGCGAGCACTTGCAGCTTTCAGACCTAAGCACGCCTACTTCAAGGCAGCATCTTTCTTCATAATAACTGAGCCGCTAGAGTTAATTATTAAGATAGCTATTAAACAATTTCTATTTTTAAAATCATCCCTGAAATGAATCAACTTAAGCCTCCTTGTGCAGTTATCACGAGGCTTACCAGCAGCAGTTGGCAGGGACAGACAGGTTCCTCCGAGAGCCCAGGCTCGGGACTGCTGGCAGGGCGGAGAGTTACTTTGCTCTGTGAGTCCAAAGACTGGCTTGGAGGACAGAGTGCTCTCATTCAAACACTTTTGCTACCTCAAAGGCCATTCATGACTATAAACACAGGAGTTCTGTAGCTGGGGAAGCTAAGCTGAGGCCACATGCAAAGCAGCAAAGAGGTCGAAGCTGGATCATTTCAGCAGACAGGAAGTCAGAAGCGACTGGCCCTGGTTCATTCAACTGCATCTCGCTCCATTCTAGTCTCCTGGCCCTTTGGTCCTGGCCTCCACTACTCCACCATTCAAGAAATGCAAACATTAGTCTATGATCGTCCACAACTCAAAGGATGGCATGAAAGCCCCGGGAAAGAATCTGCCCTTTGGTCACTATTGAGAAATTCATGGCCCAACCTGCTGCCACCCCAGCTCCAGACTTTGTGGGTGGAATGCAGGGCAGAAAGGCATGGCCCTGAGTCACACCTCTGCTGGGCCAGAATCTAGATGGACAGGACATCTAGGGAGGCAGCTGGGTGGTTTGGTTTCCGAGGCACGGGTGATGTCATCGCGAACCTGACTGTCCAACAAGCCAGAGGACTGACTCACGCTCAGGCAGACGAACCTATTGCAATTTGAGTCTTATGTTTACTTAGCAAGAAGAGAAAAAATTAAAAATTCCCACCGGGACTAATGTCTTCCTCCGTGGGCTCATTCAATCCAGTATGGTGCTGTGGGCCATGCCGAGCAGAACCTCTCAGGCTTGCCAGTTCCCAAGGCTGTCCTTCTTGAAGCGTGGTGTAGCCCTATGGAGGACACATGGCCCTCGCTTGTGGATCTTGGGTACAGTGGTGGGTGTATCTGAACGGTAGCTGACCCTAGATGGACACACACCCAACCCCACAACTACCTACTTCTTCCTGCTCTGCAGGTTAACTGTCACATGTCCATGTCACTGAATTGGCTCAGTCACCCAACCTCCAGAAACCAATGAAAACAGCCAAATCCTGTACAGAACAGGAAAGGAAGACACAGTTAATGCGGCCACATTGGGAAAGATCTAGTGACCTCCTCAAGACCATTTTCAGGGTCCTGCAGTCAGATTGAAGTTTAAATAGAGGGCCAGGGTCAGAATGCCCACCACTGACTCCCCACTGTCTGGGCTCCACTCTCATCTTGCAAGGTGATCTGACAAGCCCTTAGAACTGAAAATCTCCTCAGGAAACAAGTTCCCCTTCCTGTTCCCAGCCTTTTCCTTCTTCCAGCATGAGATTCCTGGGGAAATTCCGATTTCTCGGGGTCCATTGTTCCACCAGTCCAAGCTGAGAGGGGTGTCTCTCTAAAACAGCGTTTCTCAGCACGTGGGTTATGACCCCTGTGGGGCTGCATATCAGATATTTACATTATGATTCATAGTAGCAAAATTAGTTATTAAGTAACAACGAAAATAATTTTCTGGGGCTGGAGAGGTGGTTCAGCAGTTAAGAACATTGGCTGCTCTTCCAAAGGTCCTGAGTTCAATTCCCAGCAACCACATGGTGACTCACAACCATCTGTAATGAGGTCTGGTCCCCTCCTCTGGCCAACAGGCCTACATGTAGGCAGAACACTTTAAATAAATCTTTATTAAAAAAGAAAAAGAAAGAAAATAATTTTCTGGTTGGGGTCACCACAACATGAGAAACAGCATCAGGAGGTGGAGAATATCTTCATTTCTGCCAGGGCACGTACACGGGAGAGCTAGACGACACGGTGCATTATGCCATCAGAACCAGGAGGACACAGGAAAGCAAAGCTTGGGCGCAGAAAGACAGACGCTGTCATAAGCAAAGTGATGCTCAAGTTAGTGCTGAAATGGATAGGGGTTCCCAGGTGGAGGAGGGGGAGGGCCAGGCTGGCCAGGCAGCTCAGGTTAGCCAGCTGAGTTTCCCTGTCCCTTGCCAATCAGGTCTAAACCCCACAGGACTTCCACTCACAGCAGCAGGGACCCAGCTGCTAGGATCAAGTGGCCGGCTGGGTTTCATTCACAGGCTCCTGGACACTGGCCTCGGAGCTGGGTCAAAGAGGAGTCTCCTCCTCATTCAGAAAGGGGGCAGGTTTGCAGGGAGTCCTGAGCTGCCTCTACCCCAAACTCCCTGGAGTCCCTATGGTCTCCACATCACCGGAAGGATGGCTGGACCTATGCTGGATAGTACACCTGACACTCTTTCTTGAAGGATGGTGCCTAGTGCATCACCCTCCAGACACACTACCCAGCTCCATTCCTTTGCTCCCTTCAGCTGGCTATACTCAGGACACAGGGACACTTTCTATTTCCTTCAATTCTGCCGGCTTTCCTGCATACAATCTAACTGCTAACACATTTGCTACACCCTGCACATACCTACAACTGCTCCACTGGGGCAGGGTTGTGTTATTATTACTGTCTTGAAAATGGGGAAACTAAGGCACAGAGCAGTGATGTGACAGAGCCAGGCCTCTTTTTTATCTATCTGTCTATCTTATCTATCTATCTATCTATCTATCTATCTATCTATCTATCTATCTATCTAATGTACATATGGGATCTATCTGTCTATCTATCTATCTATCTATCTATCTATCTATCTATCTATCTAATGTGTATTGGTGTTTTTTCTGCATGCATAGCTGTATGTGGGTGTTGAATCCCCTGCAACTGGAGTTACAGACAGTAGTGAGCTTCCGTGTGTGTGCTGGGAATTGAACCTGGGTTCTCTGCAGGAGCAGTAGTGCTCTTAACCACTGAGTCATCTCTCCAGCCCCGACCCAGGTTCTTAACTTCTCGGCACACTTCAATAGCTAACACCCCTCCATTCCAGGAGTGTACTAAGGTGACTTTTGCCCCTCCTACTCTGCAGGATAAGGTCAAGAAATGTAGTCGGTGTGCTCTAATCAGTGTGCCAGGGTGCACAGAAGCAAAGGCAAGAAGGTGAGGAACGGGCAGCCCCGTTCCACCCCAGCCTTACAAAGTGTCCCTTAGAACTGCTCTGCCTGGGAGAGGGGACTTCAAAACCTTGGCAGCCTGGGAGTCAGGCCCAGCCCACTTGGCTGCAGTCAGGCTCCTTAAGGTGTGTCTGTGGGCCCAGTCTATTCCTCCCTGTAGGACAGGGGTCTTGACTTTTGTCTCCTCTTGCTTGGCCAGCTGTTGTGATATGCCTTCTCCTGGGGTCACAGCCCACTTCAGGCCTCAAGGCCTCAGCCAGCACCAATTATAACAGCTAGACAGAGCTAGAAGTTTCGTCTATCCACCATGTGGTTAGGGATCTCCTTCAACTCCAGGGCTGGGTTTTTTCTACTATTGTATGTATTCCGAGTGTGCAAGCATGTAGTAACATGTTATAGTCACACGCCTCCCTACTTCTGCAGGGCTTGGAATCAAACTTACACAGGCAAGTGTTCTGCCGTTGAGCTTCAAGGAGCCACGCCTTGAGCTATGAGCAGACAGGGCTGAGCGACAGCCCTGAATGTGGCATGGGATCTGACAGATCCCAGAACTGCTTTCAACCAATAGAAACTTAGAGCACGTTCCAAACACCAGCTCACTCCTGTGATCTGCCTCTAGTTGAGACTCACCTGGCTGAGGAAAATTCCTCACGATACCAAAGCCTGGGGGCTCTGCCCCCTGACCAAATCACCCCCATCTGCCATCACCGAGGCCTGGCTGCTCCTCACACCTGCAATGTCTCAGGCAGCTGCTGAATTCAGGAAGGGCTGACTCCATGGATGAGCAAAATGAGAAACACCCCATCCACACTTAACAGCGTGCCAGTGTTGAGAGGGATTTATTCGGGATGTGCTGGGTGAAGTCAAAGATACAACCCAAATTAACGTCACCTGCCTGTTAACTTTTTCTAGAGACCAGTAGATGACCTAAAATGTAGCATCCGCCTGACCCTTCTGTGTCTAACTCAGCGGTGCTGCTGCATTGCAGCTGCACCCGGAAGTCAGGACTTGTCAATTAAATGTCAATCTTTACAAGATTTTGGTCCCTCAGGGGCTGCTGAGGTATGTCGCTGACCTGGAAAACCGAAGGTATGAACTATTTCCATCTGCTGCTGCCTCAGCACCTGGCTCCCCTGTGGGAACACCTCAACCCTCACCCTTTCACCTCTGGAGCCAGAGTTTCCCCGGACTTAACCCTGAACTATGATTAAAGGGTTTCTCTCATCCTGACCTGAGAAGAGGCCGCTCCCTGGCTCTCGGCCTCTGTATGCTGTGGGTAAATCCATGGCTCAGAGAAGCAAACCAAAGGGCAGCTGCGTGTCCCACAGAAAGGAAAACACAATCATGTTCACAGCTTCTAGCTGCAGCATGGGCCACGGTGTGCTTCAAAGATGGCTTACTTCTTTCAAGGAGGTCCCAGATTGTGATCTTTGGGGGTGGAGGAAGTGGAGAATGGTCAACTATTTGCTGCGACCCTACAACATCCCGTGTTCACTGTGCAGTGTGTATTAGTCCCTCCTGGTTGCTGTAACAAATCGCTACACTTTTAGTAAACAGCATTGATACAGCTTACAGTTCTGCAGTCCAGAAGTCTGAAATGTTTTCATAGTCCACGCACAGGCCTTCTAGGTAAGGATAACTTTGAACTTTTAATCCTCTTACTCCATCCCCAACCCCCAAATCCTGGGGTAACAGGCATGGACCACCATGATATAGCTATGTGGTGCTGGGGCTCAAATTCAGGGGTTCATGCATGCTGGGCAAGCAGTCTATGCCCTGAACCACATTCCCAGCTCCTGAAATGGATATTGCAGGGTTAAAAGGGTTGTGTTTCTTTCTGGAGGTTCTAGGGCAGAAATCTGTTCCTTGCCTTCTCCAGTTTATAAAGGATGGTATTATTCCCTAGCTGTTGGCTCTTTCAAAGCCACACGCAGCCAGCAGAGTTTAATCTCGTGGCACTGTGACCACCTGCCTCTCCTGCTTCCCTCATCTGCATTTAGGGACCCTTGCTATGCAGGGCCCACCTGGTGACTCATAACAACCTCCTATCTCAAGATCAGTGGCTGAGCAACTTGGCTCCAACAACAATCTGAGTTACGCAAACAACACATTTAGTTAGTCTGTGGTCATCTTTGCAGGGACATGACTCAACCTACCGCACAGTATCTCACAGTGTACTCTTCCAGAAACACAGAACCAGCCCTGTCTTCTGTGGAAAAAGGAAAAAGCAGGCTCTGTAGTCAGGCACTTGCTCCCCGCCCCCAGGAAACAACCAAGAGACCAGGTCTACCCTGTCTACAAGTGTGTTCTATGGTGTCACACGGTCTTTTTAAAGGCCTGGTATTCAGAATACAGGTACAATGAGTTGCATAGCATTTTATATTCAAAACATGACATTTTGAAAAGGGGTCTTATGGACAAAGGGATTAAAGTGATGGGGCTGAGCGAACTGTCTCTGGGACACACCACTGAGGCCAGAAGCTCATAACTCAAGCGCCAGCTGCCAAAAGGAAGGATGACTGCCTCCCTCAACACTCCTGAGAGGTAAACCACCGAGCTCTGTACAAAACAGGGCGTGTCCTGTCCACAGAGCAAACATGGAGGCATTCCTCTTCCTCCTGGCCCTGGGAGCCCAAGAGGAGAGACTGACAGACTGCTGAGAATTTCAATGCTAAACTAGCTGCTCCATGGCCACCACCAGCCACTGTCAATGTCAAGACAGGCGTGTGTTCCAAAGGGAAGCAGGTCCCAGTACTGGATGTGCTA